AAAAAAAAAAAAAAAAAAAAAAAGGGAATCAATATTATTTGTGAGTCACTAGTGAGCAGAGTCTCAAAAGCCAGACATTATGGAGAAAGGATTTTTTAAATCGCTTAGGCTCCCATTTCATATTAAGAACCAGACCTGGATGACTTATATCTGGAGTTTTCTGTAAGCCAAGGGAAGTGAGGATTCAGTTGTGATGTAAATGAAACTCCTGTTATGCAAGAAAGTGCAAATGCCTGGCCTCCTGACCCCAGTGGGCTGTGCGGAGGAGACAAGGAATAGTTAGAATGAGGACATCAGAGGCTACTGTTGAACCTCATGGCCTGAGGAGCATTACCAGGCTGGCTGAGGGAGAACAGTCAATGCTAGTGATCTGCTTTCCCTGCAGGCAACTGCAAGCCTCTAGGAGAAACCCCTTTTCATTCATCCTTGTAGAAAATTCATCAATGTGGTACCAGAATAGGGATAAGCATAGTTGTGCAGGTTGAGCACTGCCCAAGAAATCCGTGTCCACAGGGCACCATTCATTTCACAGACATCGAAGATGTGCACATTTATTATGGTAGTTTTAAGTATATTGCAGCAAAGTGTCCTAACAAAATTAGTGTCACAATTCCAACACTGCAAGGGAAGTGTCTTGGGGAAGACACATCTTTTCCTAATTTGTACAGAATGCCATGTGAACCAGTTTAACCCTGACTCTCCCCCTGCCACCAGAAGGTTATTAGAGCCTCTCCCAACCCAAGAAGCATCATGGGAGGAGCTAGGATAGGTGGAGTACATCTGAAAGATACAGCATCTATCCCAAGGTAGTTAAGTTAACCCAGTGAGACAGTTTACACAGGAAGAGATGGAGCCGTCTTTAATTCACAAGCAAAATTAATTTTTGCAGCTTGCTACCTAGCAGGTTGGTCATTCAGGAAGTAGACCAATAACTAAAAATAAAACCACTTTTCGTGTGTGCAGTGCATCGTAGTCTGATCATTGTCTCTCAGATGTAAAGCTCTGATCTAGATGTGGCCTACTGAAATAGAGAAGAAAACATTCTTTTCTTTAAAATAATCCTATCTATCTGTGACCTACAACCAGGTTAACTATAGGTCCAATCACTAGGTTCTAAAACTTATGTTATTTAAGAATCACCTGCATGTCTTGGTTTAAAAGGTTCTAATTGACTAAACGGAGGTAGACACTGAGTTACTGCATTTCTAGCGAACTCCCAGGTAATGCCAGTGCTTCCAAGCCCAGATCCAGGTGTTTGGTTGCACAGTTTTAGGGTCCAGAGCCATGGTTCTCAGACTCTCACATAGAGGTCATATACCAGTCACCCGGAGAGCTTGTTCAAACAGAGAGCTGGGCCCCTGGGCTCCTTTGGGTTCTTCTGCCGGCCTTAGCCAGTGGTGCTAATCTGTGTCGCCTCCACCACGTCAAGTTACTTGAGAGCAGAAACCCTGGGCTATTGTGCATCTCCTCTAAGCCCATACTCATCTCCCTTCCTAGAAACAAGCATAGAGCTTTACATTTTCTAGATGTAATAGGAATCATAATAGGAAGATATTAAATGGTTACACTTTCTATTCTTATAGACATGATGTTCTCCTAAAGCCCTTCTATCAGTAAAGCCCAGTTTATCGCCCAGGAAAAAGGAGGGAGGCATCAAAAAGTCCTCATTCATAAATGAAGGTATTACTTGGTGGTGCCCCATTGGGCAGAAAGATGAATCCAGATACACCTTCTGATTTTAGGAGGGAGCCATGAGATAAAGAAAGCTGGTAAAGAGAGAGGACATACCCCTAGGTCAGAGCAAGAGAAGTCAGGGAAGCAAGCCAGAAGCAGAAAGGGCTCCTGCCCCATTTGCTGTCTGGGGCTCCAGGAGGAGACCACCATCAGGGACCTCCTGCTCCAAAATGGAGAAACTGCAACAGAACCAAAAAATAGACGCGTTGTTATGTCATGCTTATGCAAAAAGATATTGGGGAAAAATTCAGCTGGTGTGGTACAGAAAAGGTATCCCAACATTTTCACACACTCCCAGAGGTGGAAGGGCAGGAAGAGCAAGGCAGGCCAGTGGGCCTATGATGGATTAGTGTTGGGGGGAAATGTGACCCTATGGCAGAGGCTGCAGAGCAGACCACCTAGACCCAGGGCAGGATGGAGGTGGCTGCTGAAACCTGGAAGATGTGCCATTCTAGTGAGGACCAGCACAAGGGGGAACCACTAGACCCCCCCCAAGGCCACCAGAACACAAGACATGGTGACTATAGAGGTCAGCAGCTTCTGCCAGGAGGATGTCCAAAAGACATCTTATCAAAGGCCAGAGAGGTCCAGAGGACAGCACCAGGAGCCGAAGGCAGATGTCACCCCTTTCCTCAGCACAAAGAGGACAGGTTAAGATATGCTTTCCACCCAGGAGCCACACTACAGAAGGCACCATCTCGTGCATATCTAAGAAGCATCCTAAGAGGGGACATGAATCTTGAATTTGACTGAGTACTTATCTAAAATATACTAAGCAAATCTTTAAAAAGCTGTTTAAGCTAGCAGAGACTGAAATAACTTCCATGCACAAATTTAAGGTTTTTTCCACCATCAGTGGGAATGGGGTTTTCAGGGCAAGATGATGATAGTTTTTTTCCCAAATCCAATGTAGGATGGAAAAATGTGACCTCATGATTCAACATTTGGCAGATTGTTCAGGATTATGCTGTTACATTCATTTTACATAGGCCTAGTTTATGTAAGATAAAATTTCATCCACTGGAGAACAATAGCAGAAAATAAAGCTACTGTGAATAGCCCCCGAACAACATCCTTGTCATTGGGGGCTCGGAGAATGAGAATAAGGAGGGTTAAACACTCTTCCAAAGAAATTTTTTCCTCTTTACTTCAAAACTCATTTGTTTCTCTGGCATTCATTTGATGAAAATGAATTCAGTGTCTTGCAAGGAGGATATGCATAAAGACCCAAGACTCATAATCACAGTACCTAGCACCACCTCTTATTTATAGTAGGTGTTGAGTATTTACTTGGTCATTTGATGTGCTTGTTAGATTTGAAGAGAAATATGAAAATTACATGGTGCACTTGGTTAGTTGATTTGAAGTGGGTGAGATGAGACAATATCTCCTAGGAACACCAAGGGGCTAACAAGGGCTGGTTGTGTGGGCTATTTCTTTGCAGTAGCCTCTGTTGGGTGGAGAGCAGGGCTGCCTGTCTGCTGTTCTGAGTGTGCTGGGACCAAAGAATGAACTCACTGGGAGGCATCACTTTTGTTCTAGCTGAGTTGGAAGATTGGCTCCTGTTTCTCCTCCATGTGTATGTAGCTCATATGGAGCTGCATTTGAAGAACATCTAGTACAAAATCTTCCTATTATAGACAAGGAATCTGAGGCCAGAGAGGTAAAATAACTTAGAGGTCATACAACTTCTAAATGACCGAGGCTGAAGTAAGTTTCAAGTCTCCCAGATGAGGAGTTTATCCTTTATTGCACACTCTTCTGGATGCAAATGAAAAACTGTCAGAGAAAAAATTCTTGGTCCAAAGAAGAAAAGTCCAGGGGAAATTTCAGGTATGGCTGAATTCAAATGCTCAAAACATGTTGCCAGGACCATGTTCTTGCATCTTCCATTTGCACCGTTTGCTTTTTTTGGCTTTTTTCAGAGAAGGCTACTGGTATCCCCAGGCTTAGATGCCACAGCTTAGAGAATCCAATGGGAGGAGAGAATCTCTTCGTGATAATGTTGGCAAAAGTCAACAAAAGTAAAAAAAAAAAGAAATGATTCTGGTTTCTCTGCCTTTGTTCCGCACTTTAAACCAGTCGCTGTCGATAGAGGTGTAGAGTTCTCAGGTCCCTCCTAAGACCACACCTGCTCCTGAAGACCCTGACCCCAGAGGCTGAAAGGAGAGAAGGTGGCTTCTCCCAGGAAAACCAGAATGCTGTTCCCTGAAGGAGGGAAAGGAGTCTGTTCCTATGACTTCTTCCCTTTAGGCTGTGTGGTCCACATACACCTGTGACACCAGATACACACCTTGTCTTATTCTGAGTTGAGAGAGATGTTAGTTTATTTAATCTTATAAAAGGAGAAAAATTGGACTTCTTTCCAAAGACAACAGATGCCTTCTACAATGTTCATTCTGGAAGGTTGTATCGGGAGGGATACTGGCAGACAGCAGAGGACTCACTCACATTCAGAAATCTGAGGAGAGTTTAATAAAGAGATATTTGCAAAGGCGAGGGCAGGGTATAAGGAAGCCACAGGGATGGTGCAGAGCATGGGGGTTGTAACTTCTGGGCACCCTGACACCCCTGGTCCTGAAGGCACCTAGAGTCACAGAGGACGGTCAGGGGAGGGTGGCTGGGCCAACGCTGTGACCTTTAGTAAGGACACAGCCTCAAAATGGGAGCTGGGGAAATGGACCAATACCTTCCTTTGGTCCTTTAATTTCCTGCCGGAACTTCCTGCTGGATGAACCCCACCAGGAATCCAGAGGAGAGGAATCTCACTGTGATTCAAAAGGTCATCCTCTCCGGGCTCAAAGCTAGATGGAGAAGGGTGAAGAGTGGGTCCAAAAGAGGATTAAACATTCAGTTTCTCAGTTAAATCGATACTCAGCTCATGGGCCAAATCATGGAAATGGCCACAAAAAGTGTGAACATA